AAACTCACTGGACTTTATATTTTTTGTTTTTAAATTAATTAGTTAATTATTTTTCCTGGTATTACAGACTGAACACAGGAGCTTGCACATGCTAGGGAAGTACTTGGCCACTGAATTATATCCCTAGCTTTTAAAAAATATTTCATTTCCAGAGAAAGCTTTGCCAAGTGGTCCAGACAGGATTTGAAATCTTTCTACCCTAGCTTCCCTAGTAGATGGGTCTACACCACCAGACCCATTGATTGACTGATTGACTGATTGAGACAAGGTCTCATATGTTCCAGGCTGGCCCGGAACTTGGAGTGTAGCCTAGGATGACCTTGAGCCTCTGCTCCTCTGTGCTGGGACTTTGGGGCATAATTTGCCATCATACCAGGTTTACACAACACATACTAGACAGATGTCGGCCAAATAATCTACATCCCCAGGCCCAGGTAGCCCAGGCTGGCCCTGAACCCCAGATCCTGTGTTTCTGCTTGTTGGGGTTGTAGACATGCTCTTCCCTCTCAATTTCCTTCCCATGTTCAGATTTAGAGTATCAGAGCCTCTGCATTCCCTACTCTCTGTTTTTTTTCTTTGTTCCAGGGGAGGTGGGACTCCTGCCTCTCCAGGAAAGGGGAGCGATTCGAGGCCTGCCGCTTTGTGAGGAGCTCCACACACACTGCCAGCCTCATTTAGAGACAGGTGCATCTGTGTCTGACTCATGTTGCACACCCAGGAAGCCATCATTCTTGCAGGGTTTCCTAGAAGAAATGCTCTCCCCACACAGGCCTCTGCTTGTGTAAAGTATGTTGCCTGACTTCCCAAAGACTTGCTTGGGAAGAGGAGGGAGTCGATCTCCACCCCGGAACTGCATGCTTGGAAGCTACACTAATGCAGGGACCATCTGCATAGATAATTACAAGTGGTCTCTCCTGACTGATCTCCATGTGCTGACACAGACTGAGAGGAGGTGCCCCCTTGGCGGCTGCTGCAGCCTGGGGTGGAGAGGCCGGAGAGGAGATCATGTGGCCCCCTTCACTCTGAGGCACACAACCTGCTGAGTGGACAGGTGCTGGCAGCGTGGTGTCCATGGGCAATGAAGCCCGCCTGTCCTGCAAGCTGACATCTATATCTCTGTCTATCTGGATTTCAAAGCTGACATGACATAAGGAATGTCACTTTCTATTACTCTGTGTTCACATGTGTCTCTGTTGCAGCGAAAGTCTTGCGAACAAATGTCATGGTCACAGCTGTCCTCCTACCCCAGCTTGATGGAACAGACCACCACGATGGGGTTGAAGTGACAGCTACACACGCTGCCTTTGTCTTCTAGCTGTGTTGCCATCCAGTGTTTTCTGCAGTGATGGAATGGTCGTCTGAGTGTTTGATAATTTGGGCCAAGTTCAACCTTATCTTTGTTAGTTAAATCTAGTTGGCATTTAGACTTAGTGTGCATAGACTCTGGTGCACGACAAATGTTATGTGTTGATTTAAACAGGCGGTGGTGCTTCAGACACTGTATGTTAGATCAGCATGGGTAGAACTTGGGTCGGCACATGCCCCTTAATCTCGGCTCTGGGCATTTCCTGGTTCTGACCCTGGCTCCTTGCCAATTCTTTCTCCTCTGGCACTCTCTCCTGTCCTGAAAAAAATCTCTGGCCAGACAACTTCAAGCCCCATTGGGCAGGCACCACAAAGTCCTTTTGGTAGAACTCGGTATAAATAGGAGTAGAGAACCTCTTTCTGTTTGCTGAGAAAAGCTAAAATTTTCTGAGGGTGAGCCAGTGTTTTACAGGTGAGAGATGATGGCAAACATATTTCCACTTGTGTTTTAAAGCAGATTTTAGGCCATCCCAGGGAAGGGTTTCTGTATGTGTTAGACCAGAATTTATCTGTCTTTAGATAAAGAATATTCAGTGTTTAAAAGGAATATCAAGCAGACAGCTAGGCCTTGTCTTTTTTGTTTTTTGTTTTAGTTTTTGTTTTAGACATTTATGATCTATTGGTGGATTCAAATCAACTTTCTTCAGTTCTGTTTGCTATTTCTCTTAAAATTAAAAATATATTATTTTCTCTGTGTGAATGATTTGCCTGCATGTATGTCTGTGTGTCACATGCAAGTATGTCTGTGTGTCACATGCATGTAGTGCCTGCAGAAGCCAGAAGAGGTTGGTGGATGCCCTGGAACTGGAGTTCAGATAGTTGTTAGCGGTCACATGGGAGGTAGGAACTAACCCAGGTCCTTTGGAAGAGCAGCCAGTGCTGTTAACCACTGAGCTCTAGCTCCTTGACAATTCCTTGTATCAAACAAGGAAGAAAACTATTATCTATCACCATCTGCCATCTTTGACCTCTGACATCTTTATCAAATGTATCACTAGTATCATTTTTCTGTTCAGGTAAAACCACATCATTGTTTTCTGGGAGAAAATGTACATTTGCAGATAAGAATAATTTGCTAAAGGAAAGTATTAAATTCTCAATGAGATTATTTGTGTTTGCTTTCAACTCCGTCTAAAGAGCACATTGACTCTCTCTCTCTCTCTCTCTCTCTCTCTCTCTCTGTGTGTGTGTGTGTGTGTGTGTGTGTGTGTGTTGCTGAGGACTGAACTCAGGGTCTCCTGTGTGCTAGGCAAGCTCTCCACCCCTGAACTGCACACTATGCCCCTCACAATGGCTTGTGTCTGCTTTCAATTTATAGAGCTCTTTTATAGCCGTTCTCATACGGTTCTTCCAACAAAACTAAAGGAAGACTTTATTGTAATTTTTAGATCAGGAATGTAGCTCTGAAAGATAAAAGAAGGAAGATTAAATAAAACACTATTTTACTGTTCTAGGCCTTTACAAACAATAGAATGTTAGTGAGTTTGAGGCCAGCCTGGTCTACACAGAGAAAATTTGTCTCAAAAAAAATGTTTCTCAGACAATATTCTGTGTTCTAAAGTCTACCTTGTCCGACCCAGCAATTCTTTCTTTTATTGGTATTTTTTTTTGTTTTGTTTTGTTTTTCGAGACAGGGTTTCTCTGTGTAGCTTTGCGCCTTTCCTGGGACTCACTTGGTAGCCCAGGCTGGCCTCGAACTCACAGAGATCCGCCTGGCTCTGCCTCCCGAGTGCTGGGATTAAAGGCGTGCGCCACCACCGCCCGGCTCTTTTATTGGTATTTTTATAAGCATAATTTTCTGGCCCTTTACTTTTAACTTATCATTGTATATTTAACATGTTTCTTGTAGAGAGCACATATTTAGATCTTTCTCTTTCTTTTTTTCAGTCAATCTAGTTCATGTCGCATTTGTGTAACTCTGTGAAGCTGTGTAACTGTGCCTATGTAAAATACCTGATGGTCTAATAAAGAACTGAATGGCCAATAGCAAGGCAGGAGAAAGGATAGGCGGGGCTGGCAGGCAGAGAGAATAAGTAGAACGAGAAATCCTGGAGGAGAAAGGGAAAGAAGGAGCAAGAGAACAGGGAGAGGAGGACTTCAGGGTCCAGCCACCCAGCTACACAGCCAGCCACGGAGTAAGAGCGAAAGTAAGATATACAGACATAAGAGAAAGGTAAAAGCCCAAAAGCAAAAGGGAGAGGGGATAATTTAAGAAAAAACTGGCAAGAAACAAGCCAAGCTAAGACCTGGCATTTATAATTAAGAATAAGCCTCTGTGTGTGATTTATTTGGGAGCTGGGTGCCCCCCCCAAGAGCAAAAACAATACAATACTCTGTATTCTAACTAAAGCAGTTAAATACTTATTCATATATTCCATGTAATTATCTGTCTGATGAAATTTAAACCTTTCATTTGGTGCCTGTTTTCCACTTGCCTCATCTGTTCTCCATCGTGTTTATCTCCAGTTCCAGTTTACGTTTGGAATAGTTTATTTTTGTGTTCCATTTGAGCTTTACTTTTCATTCACTAGTTACACCTTCCTGTTATTTATTTATTTAGAGACAAGATTTCACTGTAGCCCTGGCTCTCTGAAACTCACTATGTAGACCAGGCCGGCCTCAAACTCAGAGATCTGCCTCCCAAGTCCTGGGAGCAAAGGCGTGCACCACCACCGCCCAGCCTGAGACCTTATTTCTTAAAATCAAACATTGCAGGGAATTTTACATTGTTCTTTGCTGTATTTGTTTGTTAAAAAATTTTATTTTGCGAGGTATGCTTGCATACACCTTTAATCCCAGCACTCTGGAGGCAGAGGCAGACAGACCTGAGTTTGAGGCCAGCTTGGCCTATGGAGTGAGTTCCAGGACAGCCAGAGCTAGATAGTGAAATCCTTATTCAAAAAAAAATTTTTTTTAATTATGTGTCTTGTGGAGGTATGTGCACATGAGTAAGTTGCTCTTGGAGGCCAGAGACCTTGGAGTCTTTGGAACTGGAGCTACAGGCAGTTGTAAGCCACCTGACATGGGTGCTGGGAGCTGAATTTGGGTTGCTTAAAAGAACAGTATATACTCTTAATTGCTGAGCCATCTCTCCAGTCTCTGGATTTTGTCGTATTTTTAAAAATCTCATCCAGTTTTATACTGGTGCACAGTTTATTTGGATCAGTGTTTTTGGTTTTGTGTAGTTTTTTTGTTTTGTTTTGTTTTTTGAGACAGGGTTTCTTTGTGTAGCTTTGTGCCTTTCCTGGAACTCACTTGGTAGCCCAGGCTGGCCTCGAACTCACAGAGATCTGCCTGTCTCTGCCTCCCGAGTGCTGGTATTAAAGGCGTGTGCCACCACTGCCCGGCACTGTTTTTGTTTTTTTTTTTTAAAGCAGGTGCTTGATCACTTACCTATGCCTCCCTCCCTGCAGTGACTCTTCTATTATTTGCTTTTAAGTTACGTTAGGAATGATCATAATCAAGCTTCATTGAAGCTCTAATTTAATCACATGATTAAGACAAAAACTTTATGTACATCCTACCCACCAGGCTGTGTTACACAATCTTTCTGGTTTCTCTGCTGGCACAGATAGCCTATGTTAACTCTGAAAATAATTTTATGTATTTTTCTCTGGCTATTCTTTTTCTTCCAGAAATTTCTTTTGCTGCACATGGAGTTCAGGACTCATTCAAAGTCTTGAGGAGACTTTCCTACAAAGACCCGGAGTTATCTCCCTTGGCCCTCTGCTGCTCCTATGGCCTCTTTCTTGACTTTTCGGAATTCTGTCACTTCCTCAACTCGATGACGGCGTCTGTGTGGAATCTTCTTTCCTGCAAAGAGGCCCCCAAACTGCCTTGTCTGTTTTCAGCCCCTGTCCTGTCAGTAATCACAGCCCCACGCGACCTTCATTTCAGTGCCTGAAGGCAATTCATACTTTGTTTGGGTTGTTTCGTAAGACAGGAAGATAGACACGTCTCTGTTAGTCTACAGTGAGCAGGAGTCTTGTCCTATATGTTATTTGATCTTATAGATAGCATTTTAGCGGGAAAATAGCAAGTCCAAAGGAAACTTAAAAGTGAACTTTGTGTGTGTCTGTGTGCACAAGTGTGTGGAGGTAAGGTGCAGGTAAGGTTTCAGCTCAGTGCTTCCTCAGCCGCCATCCACCTCTACCTCTTTCTTCACTTGTTTTTTTAGTTACTCACTGGCTGGACTCTGCCAAGAAGGCTAGGACTGGCTGGCCAGTGAGCCCTAGGAATTTACCAGTCCCTGCCTCCCTACCCTCATGCTGGGATCACAATCTCCAGACACTCTGCCAGGCCTTTCCCCTCCTGTGGATTCTGGGGATTGAACTCTGTCAAGGTAAGTACTTTCCTGACTGAGCTACCTACCAACTTCCTACAGGTAATTTAAATAAAAGTTTGTTTTTTTTTTTTTTTAAGTCTTTCTTCTCTCTGCTTCCAAGGAGAGCCTTCATTGTACGTCATTTGCCTTCTAGAACTCCAGAACATTCTGCACTTGGTTATATTGACAAGTGGACTGCAAATAAGGAAGCTGGGTTGGGTTTGTTGGCACACCAACCTCTTCATGGCGGTGTGCCATTCGCCTTGACGAGCAACCCAGAGCGCAGTGTGGGCGGACACCGCTGAGGACTTTCAGAGATGGCCGGGTTCTTCGGTTTGAGCAGACACTTGGCTAGACACTGTTCACTCCGTAGAGGAAGGAGGGCTAGCCGTTTTCACTGTGCCTTGCTCAGGACTCTCGGAGGTGCTATCTGTTGAAACGCTTGAGTGACAAGAAGCACCGGTGGTATCGAAGAAGTTTAGGAAATGAACTTCTCCAAGGCACACATCAAAGAGCCCCTAACGGCGAGGGGAAGTGCATGTGTCCCCTTGAGCAGGACAAGTCCAAGCAGCCAGTTACAAACATCCTGTGAAAACCGTGAGGAAACCCATGAATTTAACCCTGTGTGCTGCATATTTTGAAATGATGTAGTTCTCATATTCAGTACCTAGTTTACCAGAATACTGTGTTATTTCTTTACCACTACACAATTAATTAATTATGAGAGTGAGAGCTGGGGCCTTACTATACTGCCTAGGCTGACTCAAGCTCCCGAGTATTTGGGACCCGAGGTACGTGTCACCAGTCTTGGCTTTGACCTAATTTTCAACGATTTATTTTATATTTTGTGTGTGTGTGTGTGTGTGTGTGTGTGTGTGTGTGTGTGTGTGTGTGTATGCATGTGTGTGCACCATGTGTATGTACTAGACGCCTGTGGAGACTGGAAGACAGTGTCAGAACTGTGGGACTGGAGTTGAAGTTCTGTTTTGCTTTTTATTGTCGGCTTCCATTCTTACAACAATAGGGCAGGAGAAGAGGAGCTTACAGCTTGAAGAGGGAAGGCTTTCTGTACAGACACGCGTGCAGACACGCGTGCAGACACGCGTGCAGACACGCGTGCCTCTCCCCTTAGCCATCAGATGACCGAAACAAGGGACCCAAGGAGCTGGAATTTCCCAGAAATCGCATGCTAGGGGCAAGAAAAGATGGAAGCGTGGGTCCAGCCAGAGGAAGAGCTTGTCTCTCAGGAAGAAACTGCACACGGTTCTGACAGCAGAGCGCCTTGTCCGACTGGCTGGAGCGGATACATTGATGGGTGGATGATGGGCAGGGCCACACCTTCACTGGGCCGTGGTTATCCAAACCTCACTTCATGTTAGTGTCCCAAAGTCGGACTGTGGGTGGGGGCGGGAGTCACCAGACCTCTTGGTCCCCCTTCTTCCCAGTCCTGCCACACCCATAACCTCTTCTCTCGGCTTTTTGGCTATTACGTGTCTCCCTAATTCCTCTTGAAGATGACTGGTGGAGCCTCGCTTGTTAGGGTTGCCAGCCCCCAGACTGTGGCCCTAACAGCTTTAGTAACATTATCACATTTTTCTCAGTGTCTTTTGCAGGTTCCCTAATCCAGTGCTGGAGATGGAAGGGGCACCAGGCTTTTAGTAACTTAGACGATGAGTCAAGTTAGTTAAGAAACGAGTCTTCTCAAAACCACTAGGGACTAGTTGCTTTCCGTTAAGAGCTTTCTCTCCTTGAGCCCCACTTTACACACACATCTACCTCTCAGCCCCTCCTTAGTTACGCAGCGGGGTGGTTGAAGGAGGAAGAGGGTTGGGGGCTGGGTGAGCACATAGGGCTGTAGCAAGGACTCCTCCAGGCAGAGGAAAGATGCTAACTCACTTCTGCCAGCAGGCCTGCCGGCAGTGACAGTGTTTGTGTGGGAGAGGGGAGCTCCAGCCACTGCTTCCAATTGACTGATGGAAACCAGACGTGGAAGGGTTAAGTAATTAGTCCATGGAGACTTGGGTAGAGTGGAGGGAGCCAGGCCAAGAGGAGAGTTTAGTTAATCCCACTGCTCTTACCATTGTGTTTCCCGTGTGGTCCAATGGCTCAGGAAAGTGACCTCTGTCCCCGGAAACAAGCACATGTTTTATGAAGTAGATAAAGCAACCCAAGATGTTGGTCCAGTCTAAGGAAGAGGAGAATCGAAGTTGATCTTCAGAGCACAACACGGGTTACTGTGAGTCCTAGCTCTCCTTGACCCTCCTCCCTCTGCAGGGAGATCTCAAAAGGTGCGAAGCCCAGAAAACTGAACGATTAATGCCTTTGCAGCAGGTTGTTGTCAGAATTCTGCATGGAAGGTGGGAGGGAGAGCTGTATGTACACAGCCTGCCTGCATTCTCTCTCTCTCTTTCTCTCTCTCTCTCTTTCCTTTTCATATTTATTTATTTTTGATAGACAGTTTTTTTTTTTCTTCGTGTAGCCTTGGCTGTACTGGAACTCACTCTGTAGACCGTGCTGGCCTCGAACTCACAGAGATCTGCCTGCCTCTGCCTCCCAAGTGCTGAGATTAAAAGTGTGTGCCACCACTGGCCAGCTTAATATTTATTTTAAAAAATTGTATGTCCATATGTGTATCTGTTTGTGGAAATGTACACATGCATGCAGGTAGGTGCCTGAGGATACCAGAAGGGGGTACTGGATCCCCTAGAGCAGGAGCAGGAAGCTGGGAGCTGTCTGATATGGTGGGTGCTGGAAACCATATCCAGCATTCTGAAAGAACAGTATGTACTCTTAACCATTCATCTCTCCAACCATTTTATTTGTTTGTTTACTTACTTAATCACTTATAGATAAGATCTTCCGTAGCCCAGGTTGGCCTTAAACTCACTATATAGCCGAGGATGGCTAACTAACTTCTGATCTTCCTGCTTCTATTGCTGGAGTGCTAGGATTACAGGCCTGAGCCATGGCGTCTGGTTTTATTTGGTGCTGGGCGAGCACCCCATGTCCTCAGGCCATCTCAGCATTTTAAAGTTGCCACTTTAAAAATCATCTGCATTGTGTGTAAAAGATGTCACTGTGCTTGTGTGTGGAGCACGCCCTCTTCCTGTGTAGAGCTGCCAGCTAGCAGAGCCTTAGATACCAAAAAGCCTGTTGTCTGCTATTTTGTGACTTATACAAAAACAAGAATCGCCTTTGATTCGGATTCTTCATGTGGCTGCCTCCTGTACCCAGTCTATAGTCAGTCAAGGAGAATTCCTCTGAATTCTTCAAGGATCAAAAATACAAGCCCTGGAAAACAGTAGCACGGGAGAATTTGTATTGGTTTCTTTAAACTATAAGCCTTGTTTCTCATTTGCTAGCCTTCTGTAAAACAAAGATCTTTTATTTTTGAGCCAGCCCCAAACTAGCAAATAGAAATTAAATACAGGTTAGCAATGTAATCTCAATACTCAAGGATGCAGTCTCTTTCAGATCCAGAGAGCTTGGCTCAAGCTGGTTCTTTGTAAGGCTAGAGCTATATTCTGGTTGTTTTGAAAATTTACCCTGATTTTACCAGGGGCAGCTATCTTTTTCCCTAGTGGTTTATTTTTATTATTTTTAAATTGTGTGTGTATGCATGTAATTACAGATGCCCTCCAAGGCCAGCAGGGGGAGTCAGACCCTCTGAAGCTGGAGTAACAGGTGGTTATGAGTCACGTGACATGGGTGCTGGGAACTGAACACCTGCTTTAACCTCGGAGCCATCTCTCCAGCCCCAAACAACCCTCTTATTGTAGTAAAAAACTGGGGCATCATGGAGCTGAGCCATGATGTGGCTCATGATTTAATATAGTCTTTAATAAACAAGAACAGAATTATAAGCTAGTCACACTTTATTCTGGATTCCAATTTAAAATCACTCGCCACCCTGTGTCTGCCAGCTTCTAAATGTGGTGCATCCGGGTTGGTAACGGAGCTGTAGATCTTTCTGGGCAGTTGTTCACTCAGCTTTGTCAAAGAGCACATGTCTGTAATCCCAGGATGTGGGGAGCAGAGGTAGGGAAGACTGTGAATTCCAGGTCAGTCTGGGTCTCATAGTGAGACCCCGCCTTAAAAAGAAAGAAAGAGAGAAAGAAAAACAGAGAAGAAAAGAGAAAAAACAGAGAACAGCAATTCAAAGAGCAGGGTTGTGCTGGGCACAGCAGTTGGAGGACTAAGCTAAATAAAGGTATGAACTGAATGCTTTGAGTCTGACCTCAGGGTGGGGTGTTAGTGGATGTGGGAAAAACTTCACCTCTGTGATTCCTTTGGTATATTTCTGGGTCTTTGTCCTTTGAGCTAACATTGTCTAATAGGAATATAATATGGAGTACAGATATAATTTAAAAAATTTCCATAGTCATAAGTAGGTTAAAAGAGAAAGATAAAACGAAACAGGTGAAGTTAATATTAATAAGACACTTGATTTCTTCCACCATATGCAAAGTAGCATTTAAAATTGTAATCAGAACAAAAGCGGCTACAACTTTTTTTGGTACTAAATCTTTGAAATCTGGTACCGGCTTTGGCTGTCAGCCCTTCTCAAGCTTCACCAATGACTTCTCAAATGCTCCAAGTGTCCTGGAGCTAACACCACAGTACAGAACAGAATGGACATTTTGATTTTAAATTGGAACCCAGAATAAAGTGTGACTAGCTTATAATTCTGTTCTTGTTTATTAAAGACTATATTAAATGTAAATACGGTTTCTAAGAATTTTATAAACCTAGATGAATGTATCTAGGCATCTAACTGGAAGTAAAAGAGAGAAATACTAGTTATGTATCGATCCCCCCAATATGCCAAGAACTGGGATCCTTGCTTTATATTAAATATGTTATTCCATAAAAGTCTCAAAAACACCCACAGACACGGTAACCCAGAAGGGGAGTCTCACAGGTCCCACCGCAGACAAAGAACTACAGCTCACTAATGACTGTTGAGAGAGAGAATTAGCTTCTCCCAGGGGTGAGCCTTCTAAGCGCTTAGCTAATACAAAATGGTCGTCCCTGAAATCAAATACACACAAGCAACACTAAAGGGATTCTGTGAGTTGTATGCATACATTTATGCATAAATGTGTGTGTGAGAGAGAAAGAGACTTAGTTACTGTTCTTTCACTGTGATGAAACACCATTACGAAGCTCAGAGCTTGTATCCTGACCACAGGCAGAAGGCAGTGAGAGAGGGACTAGGTCTGGCATGGACTTCTGAAATCTCACAGCCCACCCCCAGAGACACACCTCCTCCATCAAGGCCACACCTCCTAATCCTTCCTAAACAGTCTACCAATTGGGAAACAGACATTCATATATATATATATATATAGTGTATGTGTGAGTGTGAATCATTTTACTCAGCACATGCACACATTCCCCCTAATAATTAAAGAAGAAGGCCATTAATTTGAGAGGGAGTGAGGCCAGGAGGGGGCAGGGGAGAGGTTGGAAGTGAGAAAGGGAAGAGGGAAATTAATGTAACTAAATATAAAAGAAAAGGAAAAGCCACCCTTTGAGGGTTATTTGTCCTACTCCATCAATAACACTGAGCTACAGAGGGAATAGGAAACCCATTCAAAGAAGCACAGTGGTCAATACACAACGTGGCTGGCATCCCAACTAAGCCATGCTGCCCAGCTCATTGGGACG